CAGTACCTGAGGGGATTGGCCATGCTCAGCATGGTTTTTGATGACATGAACAACGCAGTTACCCACAGAGCCAGACGAAGCTCAGTGAACATGACCCACGTGGAAGAACTTTGTATGGAGCCACCACTGTCATTTCCCAGCTCGCTGGTAGTGATGGCCTGGAGAGACAAATCAGCACCCATGGTGGATGAAGTGGCTCATCAGCTCCAGGAGTATGAAGACAAGCTCTCTTCCTCCTTCATCTTCCCTGTGGAGAAACTGCCCCAAGAGTTCCAGCATTTCAGAGAGGAATGTCCTACCCCCACCCATATGGACCAGCCTCTCAGCTACAAACAGCAGGCACTCAAGGGAGGATAGAGAAGGTGCAAACCACCACAACAGTTGGGCCACCTGCCCCAGATCCCCTAAGGGCTGGACCACAAAACAGCAGTCATTACCTGTGCCTGGAAAACCAGTCCATCTCCCACAGAGCACTTGGGAATTGGCCCCACCCACCTTAGACAGGCACCCCTCCCATCCATCTCCACCCCTGGGCTCTGCAGGACCAGTCCAGCACCCTGCAGACCCTGAAGGAACAGAACCCACTCACGGATAGCTCAGTGGTTTCAGAATAATGGCAGAATGATAAACACAGACCAGCAGTACAGTTCTCTGGGTTGAAATGGTAGCAAGCCCGGGAACTCCCCAGGTCTTGTGCGAGGTGTGGGATGCAGATACTGGACCATGTGTGGGGGGTGCTGCAATGCTGTTGCTGGGGTCACTGGTACAAGGCTGAGATGGGGGACTGGGGCAGGCAGAAGAAAGTCCTCAGGCTGAGGAGGAAACAGTGCTCTGTGTTCACCTCCATTTATGCTGAAGGGCATACTGTGGTCTTGACCAAACAACTTCAATTTCTGGGCATATTTGGCACGCTGTAGTGCTTTGTCCCCGTCTCAGGTCATTGTTCAGTGCTGGAAACCCTCAGCTGATGGCCTGAGCAGTGTTCTGGTTTAGCTTAGTGTAACCTGTCATTCTGCCTGTGTCTGCATTTGGGATGGTATTTGGGAAGTTCTGCAGCACAAATCTCCTCCCTTCATCAACCCATCACAGCATGCTTGCTGTGCTGCTGCTCCACCTTCTTTCCTCTCAGAACTGTGAGTAGACTCTCCATCTGGAGAAGAGCTGAAGAAAACGTGAAGAAAACGCAAGAGCAGAAGAACTGGGGCTGAATGTGGCTGCCACAGGCCAGAGGTCACCTTTGGTCTTGCTGTTGGGGAAGCAGAGCTCCACGAAGTTCAGGTGGTCACGCTGGGAGCCTGTCCCAGGTGTGGGGAAGTGTCATGGGGCAATGCGGGTGTCCTCCCCTGCAGGAGCTGACACCGGTGGGGAGCAGGAGCTGCGGGGAGCCTTCCCTGTGCCCCACCTCAGCCGGGCTGGAGTGTCCCCAAGGGGTGCCTGGGGCAGACCGAGGGCCCACAGCCCCGCGGGGCTGGAGGAAGCGCTGGGCACCGGGCCCAGAGCTGCGGCTCAGCCCGGCCCACCGAGGCACCCCCAGTGTTCCCGCCCCGCGGTGCTGCACGAAGAGCAGCGGTGCCTCCCTTGGCGTAGGCAGAAATCCTTCCCTTGTACAGGGGGGTGGGAGGAGCAGTAGTGCCCTTCAGGTACTGTGGGTGAAAGGGGGCCAGACCTTGCCTTGTTTGGCCCACTGGATGCTGGTCTACTCCCACCAGACATCCTTTAAACTGAAAGCTCTGGGATCAGTCAGGAGCTGGGAACCCACCCTTGCTTGAACTGAGCACTGATCACTCCAGTGCAAACTGAGACTATGCCAAACCTGGGATCTTATTAGAGCTGGGCACCCCCACCCCAACAGGGACCACTGGGATCTCAGAGAGGGTTACTGTGTTACTGTACTAGGGAGCACTGGAATCCTCTCAGCCTGAAGCTCTTACTGGAGCCACTGGATTCCCATCTTCACAGCACAGCCCACACCAGCTGTGCCCAATGTCACCTGTGGACAGAGACCCACAAGGAACCCAAAGGTGGGAGTCACCACCCGTCCCCAGACTTATCACAGTCCCCCAGCAGTGGGTAGAGCACGGGGGTCCTTCCCACATGCAGCACTGAGGGCTACCCCAGATCAACTCAGTGCCAGGACCAGCTGGTACTCCCTCCCTCCCTTCCCACCAGCCCCACCCCCTGCCTGCTCCAGCGGGGGGACAGAAGGGGCCTGCTGTGGGTTAACTCGTTTTATTTAGACTCAAAGGTAACTGCGGCCCAGTGGGACCGTGCATGTGGGGCCAAGACCCCGTAGAAACGCAGCAGTACGTTGGGAAGGGGGCGGGAGCGGGTGAGCTGCAGCCGGGCACAGCGCCCGGGCTGCCTGAGGAATGGTCAGTTGGCGAGAAGAGGGTTTACGAGAGCTGCCCACAGTCGGTGATGGTGATCTTCTTGCTCGTTTTGCCATCCTTGGAGCCACAGCGCTCCATGGCCTCCACCACGTTCATCCCCTCCTTGACACGGCCGAAGACGACGTGCTTTCCATCCAACCTGCGGAGAGACATCAGTCACGGCTGGTCCCTGATGTCCCCACAGGACACCTCCCAGATGGGGACTCCCAAGCTCGTCCTCCCACAGTCCCCAACTCACCACTCAGTCTTGGCAGTGCAGATGAAGAACTGGGAACCGTTTGTGTTGGGGCCAGCGTTGGCCATTGACAGGATGCCAGGGCCTGTGTGCTTCAGGATGAAGTTCTCATCAGGGAACTTCTCCCCGTAGATGGATTTGCCTCCAGTGCCGTTGTGGCGCGTGAAGTCACCACCCTGTGAAGAGACTAGCATTTTAGGTCACAGGTGCAGGAGAGCAGCCTGGACAAAGGAGCAGCAGCCCCTCCATGCACTGTAGGCAGGAGGCAGAGCTGCCCTCCCACCCCAGATCTTCCAGAATTCAACTCTAAAACCCACGCGAGTGACATTATCGCCTCACCCATTCACCTCCCCACTGAGTGGGGAATGCCACGCACCTGGCACATGAACCCAGGAATGATCCTGTGGAAGCAGGACCCCTTGTAGCCAAATCCCTTCTCGCCAGTACTCAGGGCACGGAAGTTTTCTGCAAAGGAAGAAAAAACCCACCATGAATAGCTTGTTTTGTTCAGAATTCAGACCACTTGGTTTTGGTGCAGCTGCAGTGTGCCCAGAGCTGCTTTACCAACCTGCTGTCTTGGGGACCTTGTCTGCGAACAGCTGCAAAGAGAGGAAAGACGTCTGTCAGGCTGGGGTGGTGACTGACCACTGTCCCCCGCTCCCCAGGGCCACCCCCACACCGCGGGGACCCGCCGCCAGGAGGTCGATCCTGGCCGTGCCCGCAGCTGCAGAGCCCTCCCTGCCTCACGCTGGTATGTGGGAGCTCAAACTTACAACCGTGGCACCGCACATCTCCCCAGCTACCATTCGCTCCGCTGGCCCGGAATAAAATTAACGCTAATATGCGTGGAGCCTTCCCGGGCGGGGCGCGCGCCGCCTCCCAGCGCTCCGGGGGGATTTGGGGCAGGATGCGCCACCCGCGCGGGCGAACCGCCCCGGCTCTGCAGCAGCCGCGGCGCCCGAAGCCGGCCCGGCCGTGCCAGGGATGCTCCGCGTCCCGAGCGGGGCGACAAATGCTTCGCCCTCCAGCGACAGTCCCGCGGCGATCGGGTTGCCGCCGCTCCCCGCCGGCATCCCCGGGCCCGAGAAGCGTGGCCGGGGGCTCGGCGCGGCTCATCCCGGCGCTCCGGGGGCCCCGCGATAAAATGGCGGCGCGGCAGGCACGGCCCCGACCCGCAATGGGGGGAGCGGCCGCGCCCCCCCGGCCCCGGGGCGGGGCGGAGCGGAGACGCGGCGGCGCGGCGGGAAGGCGGCCGGCGGCGAGGCCAGCGGGGCCCGGCGGGAACGGGGAAACGGCCGCACCGAGCAGGGCGGCGACGAAGCGGGCAGAGGGGTTGCCCCGGGGGAGGGCGCGCCCTACGCTGGTCCCGCACCCCCGCCGCTCCCCGGGCGAGTCGGGCCGCGTCCCGCGGCGCTCCGAGCCCAGGCGGGCCCCGCGGGGCTCTTTGTTCGCCCCTCCGGGCCGGGGCCGCGGCCGCAGCCACGGGGACGCGCCCCCGCCGCGCACGCGCACCCACCGCCCGCCGGCCCCACGCGCCCCGGCGAGGAAATGGCGGCAGCGCCCCCCAGCCCCCCGCGCCTACCTCGAAGGTGACGCGGCCCAGGGGCTCGCCGTTGGCGGCGATGTCGAAGAAGACGACCGGGTTGGCCATGGCGAGGCGGGAGCGAAGGCAGCAGAGACCGATCCGTGCAGCGAGCGCGGCGCAGCAGAAGGAGCCGGCGCCCCGCCGCCGTTTATATAGGGCCGAGGCGGGCCCGCCTCTCCTGCGGCGCCGACCAACGGGCGCCGGCGAAGTGGCGGAGTGGCAGCGCGGAGGGCCAATCAGCGGCGCCGCGTTTGAAAAGGGGGGGAAAGGAGGGAAAAAAGCGCGGGCGGGGCGGGGGCCGCGGGCCGGCGCTGGGCAGGGCGCGGCGCGCATGCGCGGTAAGGGGAAGCGGGGGGCGACGTGCGGGCTCGGCCACCGCAGCCGGCGGGGCCGGGGGCGGCGGGGACGCGGTGGGGATGCGGTGGGGATGTGGCGGGGATGCGGCGGCACCAGCCCTGCAGCACGGGCAGCCCCTCGCCCGCCCTGCGGAAACACCCGATTTCCCCCCTCCGCCGCGGGACTGCAGCATCGCCCGCCCGGCCCCGGTTAATGATTGACGCCACAGGCCCGGTTCACGGCCCGCCTGGGCCGCCGCTGCCCGGGACGGGGACGAGATTCCCCTGCAACCGAGGGACCCCCTCCCTGCCCGGGGAGGGGGCACGATCCCACCACCACCCGGGACAGCCCTCGCCCTCTCTGCCCGGAAAGGGGTAGGGATCCCCCTTCCCTGCCGAAGGAGGGGTCCTGGGGCCAGACCCACAGCGAGAGGACAAAGGACAGGGGGCACACATGACCCTGCAGGATTCTTTAATAGCCATCGGGGATGTACAGGGCAACTGGGCTTGGGGGCAGCAGGGGCTGAGCCCTGCAACCCACACCAGGCCCATGCAGTACAACGGGCAGTAGCATTTGCACATTGATATGGGGGCACGGGCAGCCCTGCAGTGACACATTTGCCTTTAAATATGGGGAGGGATCGGGGAGGGAGGGGCAGTAGTGTTTCTACACTATGTACAGCCTTGTGCTTCTGGGGGGGCTTAGCCCGCCTGTTCCATCGCAGCCCTTTGAGAAAGCCCCCACAGTGGGGGGTCCCAGCTCTGCAGTGGGCAGGGGCATGCAGTGCTGCCCCCCAGCCCCGGGAGGGGCACGGATGGCTCAGTTATTCTCGAAGAGGGACAGGAGGTCATCGCTGCTGCTGCTGGGGAGGTCGGGGGGCCCCAGGTAGGAAAGCAGCTCATCGGGATTCGTCAGCTCAGGCAGAAGCTGGGGGCGGCAGTGTGTGACGATCGGCCCCCCACAGCCTCTGCCCACCTCCCCACGCCAGCTGGGGTCCCGAGCTGGCAGTGGGACCCCTGGCCGCTCCCCCCAGTACTCACGTCGAGGGCAGGCTCCGAGCCATCACCCGCCGTGGCCATGCTGGGCGCAGGAGGGAAGGCGAGGTCGGCAGCGTGGGCTGGGGGTCCCAGGGGAGGCCGTGCCACTGCGCTCCGAGGGTGCAGCATGGGGGCTGGCTGGCTGCCTGAGGGGGTGCTGTGCAGTCCTGGCTGCACCGGGGGGTGGGATGCCTCCATCCGTCCCGGCGGGGGAAGCTGGGGAGGGGGGCAAGAGAGCATGGCCATGAGACCCTCGCTTCACTGGGACCCCCAGTGCTCCCAGTGAGATGTAGGGTAGGGGCCTGGGGCATGGCCACCCCACTCGCAGCCCGGCTGACCTGTGTGGGCAGAGGGGGCACAGGGGGTTTCTCAGGGGCCAGGAGGCCACCGGGGATGTTGGGCTGGTAGGAGATGGACGGGGGGCCTGGTGTGAAGTCACTCAGCGTTGGGGTGCCGGGGGGAGGGAAAGGCTCTGGGAAGCCCCCAGGTCCTGGAAAGCTGGAACCTATGAGAGGAAATGGGGCAATTGGGGGACACACACAGAGGGGCAGGGTCTAGTCCTGTCCCCCACGGGTCCCCCCGTACCCGGGGTGCTGTAGTCAGCAGCAGCCCCTGCCGTAGGCTGGGACAGTGCCGGGAAGGGCACAGAGCTGGGCCCCAAGGCTGCAATCATCTCCATGATGTTGGGCAGCACCATGTGGGTAGGACTGAGTGTCCGGCACCGCTTCAGCACCGGCCCCTCCGGCTCCTCCTTGACGTGGACGTCGGGTTTGATTGGGACGGGTTTCCAGCTGCAGGTGGGGTCAATGGTGATCTCTTCGTGTTCCGAACTGAGGGCAGCAGGAGGGCAGGGGAGGTGAGGTTGGGACATCTGCTGCACAGCCCCCCAGGGATGGCACAGGGCCAGGCATGGATGGATGGATGGTCAGTCAGAGTAAAGGGCACTTACTTCTGGATGTATATCAGGATGCCCAGCATGTACTGGTCCACCTCCAGGCCCTCCAGCAGGGCCGTCTTACTGCAGGCAGGGTGCAGGCAGAGTGAGGGCAGAGAACCCTGGCAGTAATTTCCTCCTGCAAGGCAGGAACCACCCTCCCCCCACCAGGACAGGAAACATACCCCCTCTCCCCTGCAGGCAGGGACACCAGGGCATGGCCCCACTGCAGCCCCCACTCACTTGCAGACAGGACACCGCCACGTCCCCCTCTCACAGTTGAGCTGCAGATACGACTCAAGGTCGAAGCACTGTGGGGGAGAGCAGCAGCTGAGCCAGAGGGGAGCAGGATACTCTGTAGGGAACACCTCCCAGCACCGTGCCACCACCAGCCCCTACCTGTATGTGCCGGCAGTCATGACCCCTGGCTGGGAGCTGGATCCTCCGGAAGGTGATGGGGCACTTGAGGGACACCTTGATAGCTGTCTGCTCCACACCGTCCTCACCGTTGGGCCCTGGGGTCCCTGGGATGGTCCCACTGCTGAAGTTGCGCTTGACTAGGGAGGTGGGGACAAGGAGCACCAAGGGTCAGAACCAGGACAGTGGGACGGGGGTGGTGGCACCTGGGTAACAGCGCCCCATCACCCCCCTCCTGCTGTGACCCATGACCAGGGTGTTCCCTTGCCACGCTGCAGCCCCTGGTCCCTGGGTGCTCACTTTTGGTGATGCAGTGCTCAGCAGGAAGCAGGCGCTTCTTGATGAGCCCCTGCAGCACCGAGCGCACGGAGGGTCGGTGCACCAGCTGCAGGACGAACAGGTGGGACTGTGGAGAGATGGGGGAGCTGAGTTGCAGCCCCAGCCACCACCCTCCCAGTCCCAGGCCCCTGCCGTGACTCACACAGCAGCAGGCGGTGACAGTGATCTGGATGGTGTTCCGGCCGGGCTGGCAGACGTGCTTCAGGTAGAGCGGCTTGTGGGAGGTCTTGTTGTCACCGCGCTCGATGGTGAGCGGTGTGGCATTGACACTCACCTGCACAGAGGCCGGCCAGTTGGTGTTCATCTGCCGATCCTCGTGGTGGTAGCACTTGAACTGCAGTTCCAGGTCAGGCCTGGGAGCGTGCAGAGTGTGTGAGGGCAGAGGGTGTGCCCACACGCGAGCCACCACGCTGGGTGTCACCCGCCCTGGGTGCTGCACTGCACCACGCAGCACCACACTGTGCCAAGCCACGCCATGCGCCAACATGTCATACAGCACTGTGGCAAACCCCACAGTACCACAGCGCTGCACCATGCCAAGCCACACAGTGTCCCACCATGCCATGCCAAACCACGCCCCGAGCCACCATGCGCTGCAGCGACACGCTGAGCCACCGTGGCGCTACCCTGGACCGTGGCAGGTACCCCCGCACCAAGCCACACGTCGCGCCATGATGCAGCACAGCGCCGTGCCAAACCACGCCAGGCCACGCGCTGTCAAGCCACGCGGCACCACGCGGTGCCCAGCTGTGCTGCCCAGCGCTGCCCCACACGGCACCACCTGAGCGGCGTGGTGTGGCACCACCCCTGCAGCCCGCACCTCATCATGAGAGTCTTGTAGACAGAGTCGCGCAGCTGGAAGACGTGGTTGCTGACGGCCAGGTTGTGCTGCAGGCGGAACGGCTCCAGCACCACGCCGTCCCGCACCGGGAAGGTCAGCCGCAGCTCCTCACCGGGGGCTGGTCCTGTGGGGCGCCATCAGCAGGGACCCCTCGTGGCCCAGCCACACCCCAGCCACGCCCCAGCCGCTCCCCATGCCCTGCACGGGGATCCCCCTTGCAGGAAGCCCCCCAAGCACCAGCGGTCCCATCCACCCAGGACAGGCAGCCCTATGGAGGAAGCTCCTCCCACTCAGGGTTGCTCCACCCCACAGCAGAGGCCCCTCCCACCCCATGCAGGAAGCCAATCCCACCTAAGGCTGCTCCCACTCCAGGATACCCCACCCTATCCAGGCCCCTCCCATTCCAGGAGGCCCTACCCACAAAATAGGAGCTCCTCCTACCAAAGCCACCACTCCTGATAAAGCCAATCCCACCCCCACCCCCACCCCTCCCCCGCACCAGGGCCTACACCCTTTTAATAAGTCCTTCACCCTCAGACCCACCCTCACAGCAAGCCTCTACCACCTGCCTCCATTGGCCCCAAACCCTGGCAATGGCCACGCCCCTTGTGCTGACACTCCTCCCCTCCCACCCTGCAGGGCCACACTGTGAGAAATGAGCCCCACACTGTGAAGTGTCCCCCCCTTCCCCACCCTGGCAGTCCCCCTGACCAAGGACACCTACCCGAAGGGGATGGGTGCAGGGGGGTGACATTGGGCTTCATGTCTGGCAGGAAGGGTGACTTGACGTCCTGACCAGGGGATGTGTAGGTGGGGATGTTGCTGCCCGGCGTCATGGGCGGTGTGGGGTTCCCAGCCAGCGGTGAGCTGGGGTACCCCGGCAGCAACCGGCCCGGCTGCGGAGGCACCGCGCACCCTCAGCGCCCAGCCGGGCCGGCACAGCCCCCACCCCACCTGCTGCCAGACTCACCCCGTTGACGGCCGCTTGGCTGTAAGTGCTGAAGTTGGTGCTCTGCCCGTTGAACTGGTCAGCAGACTGTGGGAGGAGGAAGGTCCCCAGAGGCTGGCACCGAGGGACAACAGACACCTGGACCCCCGCCTCGTGCCCACCGTTCCCCCTGCAGTACCTTGTAATAGGGTCCAGCACTGCCTGAAGCGGAGAGGTACTGGCCCATGCCCTGCTGCAGCCTGTGGCCGGGGTAGGAGGGGGACGGAGCGGAGGACTGGGGGGTGCTGGGGGCATACTGGGCACCAGCCACAGCATACTGCCCGCCCTGGAGGTACTGCTGCGCTGGGTACCCCTGCAGGGCCAGGGGGTCAGCACCAGTGGGAAATGGGGTCCCGGTACGCCACAGCCTTCACCAACGCAGTGCTCACCTCACTGGAGTACGCCCGCTTGAGGCCCTGGCGGGGTAGCTGCTGGCCGGGGGGGGCACCGGGGTAGGCGTGCTGGGGCACGCGTTGCCCGCCGTACAAGGAGCTGGTGCCAGGTGCCCGCACCGGACTCATGCTCACAGGGGAAATGCCAGAGGGGGCCATGACACCTGCCATGCCAGCTGGGCTCATGCTGGTGGGCCCACGGGGCCCAGCATGGGGCAGGAACTGGTTGCTAAAGGACTGCCCTGTGCCCATCTGTGGTGGGGAAGAGAAGGAGGTCAGGGCAGGGCCAGGGCAGCTGTCAGCTCCCCGGTTCTGCCCCAGCCAGGTTCTTACCGTGCTGTACTGGCTCAGCTCCTGGCTCTGCTTCTCCTGCAGCGCTGCCACCGTCGCTGTGGCCGTGGCCGTGGCTGTGGCAGCAGCAGCGGCCACAGCAGCAGCAGCTGCTGCCTGGGTGAAGTCAGCAGGGGCCCGGCCAGCGTGTGAGGGGAGCCCAATCCCACCAGGGCCGCTGGGGCCGCTGGTGTAGCTGGAGAGCAGAGAGGCAGGAAGGGGCACATGGTGGCCCCACAACAGGGCACATGCCAGGCCGGGGGGCACAGGGCTGGCCTTACCTGGCAGCAAAGCCTGGCCCGCTGGGGTAGGTGTTGCGGCCGTAGACACCCGGCTGCATGTACCCTTTCCCTGGTGCCCCCTCAGCGAAGGGCTGCTGTGGCAGGAATGGTGGCGAGCTCATGCCTGAGCCAGTGCCCGCCATGCCAGGCAGCAGCGGGGTACTGGAGCTGCTCCCCCCGGGGCCCATGGGACTGCCAAAAACCTGGGGGGTGGGGTGGGAGGCAGTGGGTCAGGCACGGGCGGTGTTGGCCAAGTGCTGGGGGTCCCTGGGGTGGGGGTGCTGCAGGTACCTGACTCTGGGAGGGGTTGCTGACACCCCAGACAGTGGTTACCACGGAGAGGGATCCCGGTGGCTGATTGGTGCTTGGTTGCCAAGGAACAGCCTCGTATGCAAATGAACCATCACTAGAAAGAAAAACAAATTAATGAAAGTGAAGGACAGAGGGATGGAGGGACAGAGGGAACCGGGGGATGGAGGGAACGGAGCAATGAAGAACAGAGAGGATGGAGGAACAGACGGATGCATGGGGGGACGGAGGGACGCTGCCCCGGCGCCCACCCGTGGGGCGCAGGCGGCAGCGAGGGTTTCATGGGGTTCATGGAGCTCATCGGTGGGTGCGGGCTGGGTCTTCCGAGGCCGCGGCAGGCGCTGCGGAACGGCGGCACCGTCTGTCACTGGGGCTGCGGGAGGCAGTGGAGCGGCGGGTGAGGGGCGGCCGCCTCCAGAGGGGCCGGGGCCGGGGGGGGCGCAGCCCGGAGCCTGCGAGAGCCCCCCCAGCCTCCGCGGCCGGGACTTGGCGTCGGGCCCAGCCTGGCCCGGGGCGCCGGCCGGCACGCGCCGCCCCCGCACCGGGCCGCCCCCCGCGCCGACCACCGCGGCGTCAGACCCCCCCGGGGCGGCGGGCACCGGGCTTCCCCCGCGCCGGAGGAACCGCGGGGACTTCCCGGGGCAGGGACGCGATCCCCCCGCGGCATTGCTCCCCGCCGCCCGGGGTATTTCCATCCGGGCCCGGCAGCGAGGCGCGGGGGGGCTGCGGGGTCACCAGCGCTTTCGGTTCCTCCCGGCCCCGCGGAAGAGCGGCTGAGATGGGATGGCCGCGGGGGAAGGGACGACGCGGAACAGGGGGGACACCCGCGACGGGCCTGCCCCAGCTCCCGGGAGCCGCCACTGCGGAGCCACCGGCCCCGGGCGCCCCTCGCCGGCGCTGACAGCCTCCCCCCCACGCTCCCTTCCCGGCGGCACCGCAGGACGGGCCCCGAGGCCGGGCCCCCTCCCGTTGCCATGGCAGCCGCCCCCGCCACCCCCGGCACGGCGGGGCGGCCCGCGGGGCACGGCTCGTCCCGCCCGTCCCCCGCCCCCGCCCGGCGCTCCCGCTCTCACCGCGGCGGCGGCCCAAGATGGCCCTGGCGGCGCGGGGCGCGCGCGGAGGCTGCGCGGGATCTCCGGCCGCGCGCGGCCGCGGCTCCGCGGGGGGCGGGGCCCGGGGCGGGGCCGCGCCGCGCTGCAATGGGGCCGCGCGCTCATCAGCATGCGGGCCCCGCCCCCGGCCCCGCCCCGCCAGGCGCGGGCAGACGAGCGCCGAGGGGGGGCGGGCGTGGAGCGCTCGGGCTGCGCGGGGGGCGACACGCGTGTGACGGCGGGACACGCGTGTGACGGCGGGACACGAGTGTGACGGCGGGACACGAGTGTGACGGCGGGACACGCCTGTGACGGCGGGACACGCCTGTGACAGCGGGACACGCGTGTGGCGGCGGGACACGCGTGTGACAGCGGGACACGCCTGTGACGGCGGGACACGCGTGTGACGGCGGGACACGCCTGTGACGGTGGGACGGGCGCCGTGACTGCGGCGGCGAGACCGCGGGGGGCGTGCGTGCGGGGGTGCGCGAACCGCGCGGGCCGGGGGACAGTGCGGTGACACGACGTGCGACCCAGCGTGTGACAGCACAGCCACCCCACGTGGCCGAGCACCACGTGTGAGGCCGCACACGCGTGTGCCGGCAGCCGCAGGACTGCAGGGCTTTGAGGCGCGCATAGCCCCGGCCGCCGCCCTGCAGCTGAGGGACTGGCGGGCACCGAGGGGCCGCTTCTGAGGATGCCGACAGCAACTCCCAGCTGAGGTCGGCCCCCTTGCTCCAACCCCCCAGGACCTCCCACGGGAGGGAGCACACGGTACCCAACACCAGCCCCGTGGCCGCGGGGGCTCAGAGCTGGGGGTTGGTACTCCCCTGGGGCAGGCAAAACTGAGGCAGGGGCACCACACCCCCACACCTGCCTGGGCCCTTAGGGTGAGCAGCCACCCCAAATCGCTCCTCCAAGAGGCAGCAGCTGCAGGGCCAAGTGTGACACCAGACTGGTGTCACACTGGGAGGAACTGGACTCATTGCACGGGACACCCCCAGAGAAGAGCCTTAGGGATCAGTCCTTCCAGGGTCCCAGGGGGGCGTGGGCCTCACCCACTGTGGCAGGGGCAGCCCCCAGCCCCAGGGTGACTGCACTGGTGTCACCCTGGCATAAGGCACACAAGGACTCCAGGCACCAGCATGGGGTTGACAAGGTCTGTAGTTTGGGGGGTGGGGGAGGCGAGCAAGGGACAGACAGACGGACAGAGAGATGGAGGAGCATGCTGTGCCACGCCGGGGCTCAGGCCAGGTCTTTGAAGGCATCGAGGTTGAAGGCGGTGTCGAGGAGCCGCTGCAGCTCCGTCAGGTGGGTTTTCTTATTGCCGGTGGCAGGGGCAGCCGCTGGCTCCCGCCCTGCATACCTGCCAGGGAGAAGGTGAGGGTGAGGGGGATCTGCACACCCCAAACTCCTCCCAGCATCACAACCACCCACTGCATCCCTACCAGACGGGCTTGGCACGGTTGATGGTGGTGCGGAGCCGGGGTTTGACATAGTCGTAGTAGCCCTGGTTCTTGTGCTCCTCCTGGCACCACACCAGCTCGGCAGCTGGGTACTTCTGGGCTTCCTTCTGGAGGAGGTCGAAGGGGAACGGGGAGAGCTGCAGGGGACACAGAGTGGTGTCACGAGGGACATAGAGCAGCATCACAGAGGCTGCAGCACCCCCAGCCTACGGGCACAGAGATGGCAGGACCCTGCTTACCTGCTCCACCCTGGTGATGGCCACATCGGCCTCCATCTGCCGGGCCTTGCGCTCCCGGGTCAGGTCGTAGTACACCTTGCCAGTGCAGAAGAGCACCCGCTTCACCCGCTCAGGATTCTGGGCCGCGGGACCGCTGTCAGGGATGACTCGGAGGAAGTGGGTGCCTGCCAAGGAAGAGAAGGGCACTGTAAGCCACAGTGGCCAATGGCACAGTGCCAACAGCTCCTGCACCTGTATCCTGTGCCAGCCCCTCCTGGGACCCCAAGAGGCAGAGTCAGGCAGCTGGTACTGGGTCAGCTCCCAGCACAAACCATCATGGCTCTGAAACCATCAGGGCTGCCAAATTCCAGAGGGAAGTGGCTACCAATGGAGCAAGTGTCACTGAGCCACGTCTCCCCAGGTGCCAGGGTACCCGTCTTGGCCCTGATGAGGGGTGGCTCCCACGTGCCAGGGAGATGGCCACGGCCTTGCATGGCCCCTCTTCAGCACGGAGAGGCAGCTGCCAGGTGGACTTTACCCAAGGTCACAGACTCCTACCCTTCACCCCGTGGAGCAGCACAGGGGGAACACAGGCAGCTCTGCACTGCTCTTACCTGGCAACATGTCATCAAAGCTTGACCGGGCTTCAGGGTGGCGCAGCAGTGACTTTGGAGTGAAGATTATCAGCTGGAGTGAGGGACAAGAGGCAGAGCAAGTTGGTCAGCCCTGCCAGAAACACCTTCCCTGCAAGCCAAGGCCAGAGCAGCAACCTGCCTGTCCTGCCTGAGCACAGGAGCAGCTGCCAGAGATTTGCTTCTGGCTCAGCTGCTGTGCTCTGCCATATTGGGTACTGTTTCTTGACAGCACTGGCTGTCCCAGTCAAGGTGTCCCATAGGGAGGATGCTGAGGTGCTGCCGGGGACCTGCCTGCCCCACAGCTGAAGCTGATGGGAAGCAGCTGGATTGGGTTGTGTACCGGTGCCTGCTGGCCCTGACAGCTGACATTCCCGTGGAGTTCAGGAAGGGATCAGCCCCTGCAGCTCACACAAGCTGGCAGCAGCACATGGTACCAAGCCAGCCCCAAGCACCATGAGGTCCTTGGCCAGGCAGAGGCCAACTGTGCTTGTGAGGTGCAGAAATAATCTGCCCCCAGCCCTGTCTCAGCCTGGCAGGGACACAGCACTGCCCTGCCTGGCACCGCGCTGGGCACAGAGCTGCTGGCACTGACCGGTTTGCGGAAGGGCAGGAGGATCTGGCGCCGGAGGACGTGGAAGAAGTTGGCTGGAGTGGAGCAGTTCACAACGATCCAGTTGCACTCATAGAGCTGGCGCACATCGAAGTCATCCAGCTTCTGCCTCGGCCAGCGCAGGTGAGGGGATTTCAGGAAACACAAGGTGCCTCTTGGTCTCATGGCGCCAGCAGTGGTCCCCAGTCCTCCCTCCCTCCCTCCCTTCCTTCCTCCTTCCCTTCCTCCCTTCCTCCTTCCCTGTCCAAAGCACACACAGACCTATAGAGACCTGGGAGAGGCTGCAGGGCTGTGCCCCCCACCTTGGTTTGGCCATGGGGCAGCCGGCAACCCCCAGCCATGCTTACTTCCAGGGCCACCTCTGTCTCGCACTGTGCCACAGCCCCAGGTTCAATGGACACCTGGGCACCAGGTTCAGCCCCTTTCCCTAAACCCTCCTGGCAGCATGAGCCCAGGGTGTCCCACGCCTCCTGCCATCAGCAACCACTGTGCTAAGACCACATGGGTATTGCTGCCCTGATCCGGGGCACAGGAGGGCCAGCCTGAGCTCTGCGTAGCCGCCACTCACAGGGAAGACATCGGGATCGTCGTTGCACATCTGCAGGAATCGCTCCGGGCGGGCAGAGGAGTGCTCGGGACCCTACAGGGACCAAGCAGGGGGACGGTGAGTGCAGGACAAGGCAGGCACAAGAAGCCAATGCCAGGCACTGCCATGACATGAGCCACCGCTGTGCCACCGCTGCCCCTGGCTCAGCCTCCAGGGTGAGCGGGGGGAGTCCTTACCATGCCCTCCATGCCATGGGGAAGCAGCAAGACGATGCCGTTCTGCCTGACCCACTTGGCCTGCCCAGGACAGATGAACTGGTCGATGATGCATTGAGCAGTGTTGTGGAAATCCCCAAACTGGGCTTCCCAAAGCACCAGGGCGTTGGGACTGGCCATGGCAAAGCCCAGCTCGAATCCTGAGGGATGGGAGAGTCACAGGATATTCTGAGTTGGAAGGGACCCACATAGATCACTGAGTCCAACTCTTAAGTGAATGGCCTCTACAGGAATCGAGTTTGTGACCCTGGCATCAGCACCATGCTCTAACCAAGTGAGCTAATCTCAGTTTAGAGGAGCAAGGGGGTTGGGTTACCCTCTCAGAGCAGCCTCACCCCAGGCAGTAAGTGCAGACCCCCTCACTCACCCAGGACACCGTACTCTGACAGGGAGCTGTTGCAGACGGTGTACGGAGCCTGGTTGGGCCAGAGGTGGTTCATGGGGATACAGGTCCTCTTGTCCACGTTCTGATCATGCAGGACATGGTGGCGATGGCTAGAAATTAAGAAAGTGTTACTCCATCATCAGCCTTTGGATCCCTTCCAGAAGGGCTAGAATTGCCTTTAAAGCCTCCAAAAGCAGGGCTTTACCTAAATGTGCCCCTCTCAACGTCCTGGCCACTCAGGCGGATGTGGATGCCCTCTTTAAGCAGGGAGCCAAATGCCAT